CATGTTTATGCTTTTCTTAGCATGACAATGAGAGGTTTACCACACTTTCTGTATACAAAAGCGATGCCAAAACGAGTTGATAGCAGTAGCCTCTGCAAAGCAGAGTAAATGTAGGATTTAGTGTTTGATAGGTATTTCTAATCCAGAGTAACATATTTATACTGTCACCTTCAACTTATCAGCTTACTTCTACAGAAATGAGATAGTAAAAATTGAGTTCTGAAGCCTGAACCTCATCGGTAAAGGAATAAAGAAATCCTTCAGTTTACACTAATGGTATCAATGAGTTCAGTGACCTCAAGAAAATGGATAAATTATGAATCTAAGTTAGTCACCGGTTATTATGTGACCACATCTACTAACGTTAAACCATCCCCTAGTGGATTATACCTATACGATTAAACTCCAACAGCTATCCTTTCAAATACCACGTTCAGCAGCTTCAATGGCCAATCAATACTGTATTCCCCGCACAAATGATTAATATTGTAAAGAAGAAACTCAAACTATAAATGACAAGCGCCCTATTTAGTGTTTTATAAACAAATTCATTTTGCTTCTCCTGTTGTATCAAATAATTTCGTGCAATAATAACAGACTTACTGTTGAAATACTTCATAGATATTTCAAAAGATTTCTTGTAATTTGGGTAACTCAAATTTAAACACAAATGCTATTTTCCCCGTGAATCCTAATGTTAAATAAGTTAGGAATGAAGCATATTAGTTAATTTAGTCATCGAATAGTTTAAGAGGAAGTCTTTAACTAATATAGTTTGAAACAATCTCACATTTTCTGCACAATATAATGACTTAAAGACTTAATTCAAGTTTACTTAGTGATCAATAGCTATGAAATTCAGATCAGGTTGTTATTCCTATTAAAACTAAAACTATTTATACACCAGTGGTGTAAGTCACTAACTCATCTGGACAATCATAAGATATTTTTACAATGAATGGAAATATATAAAAGTTTGATCTAAAATTTCAGTTCATTAAAATCAATTGTGTGCAAAATGAAAACTGGCCATCGAATTTAAAAATTTCATACTCAAAATTAAAAACTAAAATAAGACCGTTTTGTACATAATGATAATAACAATCATAATAATAAATACAATAGGAAAATTGATAAAAACATTTTACATGATTCATTCTGAATGCTGCAAAAAAAAACAGAAAATCGTCTTCTTTTCTATTCAAACAAAAAACACAAAAAAAAACAACTGATCAATCTATTAATGTATACAAAATAGCTATTTGTATTAAAGTGTTTTTTGAAAACAGTTATTAGAACAATCTATGATGAAACTGTTTGGTTGGTTTTATTTTTCCCCAAGAAATTTCACAAAACGTTCCTTACCGCTAATAGAAATTAAAAAAACAAATATCGTAAAGCATTGAAAATTGAAACTATCTCCATCATTCTTGACACAATTTTTTCAGTTAAATCTTTAAAAAAAAATTTATTTTTACTGTTTTTATAGGGATAATTAAGAAACAAGTAGAAAGAAAAAAATTATTATAAACATTACAAAATAAAATTACAAAATACAAAGTAGATTTTTTGAAAAAAAGTAGTAATACAATACAAGAAAAACCAAATTGTTATTCATAATTAATTAATACAATTAATTAATTAAATATAATGATTATTTTAAATTTCAGTCTAAGTAAATTTCTTGTTAAAAATTAACATTCACTTCATATATATATAACAATGATATTTATCCGTGTATTCATAATACTGGTAACATATTTGACATTTATTCTGTTCCAGTAGCCAAATGCCAATTAACTGGTGAAACAATAACATCCACTTCAATGAGTATAGCAGTTGTGACAAATACTAAATAGATAATGATTAATACAATACCATAATAACGATAAAATTGAAACCTTCCTATTAATGCTGTTAAAATATTTAATGTAAGCACTGCTAGTAGACAAGAGAATAGTAATGCTTGAGTCAGGGTAAATGACAACTGCAGCATATTGTTTGGTATTATTTTTTATTGATTTCGATGGTTTTTTTAATGTTCCCGTATCAGAAGAAGTCGGAAGAGAGAAAAAAACAAAAAATAATAAGTAAATCTCATTTTTTTTAAAATCTACTAGAAATTTTTAAATAATATGAAGATTTATTATATAATAACATTGACAATAGCGTATTTCAAATATATGACAAAAGAGTACTAATTTTCAGTATCGTAAGCATAGTAAGTTTCATTTCTACAGACATAATGTAAGTTAGTTAATTCCATAAATTCAGTTATGGAGATAGTCTTTGCCAAGATGAATATCAACTGAAGAATTATTACAAGTCAGTAGGAATTGTAAAGTTGATCATTCCTAATATTGAGATCCTCAATAACTATTGTGTATTGAATCGGGATCAGTAGTAGTAGTAGTAGTCAAACGCGTAGACCGCTTCACTTACCTGGAGAGTCTCACCAGCGCTGATGGCCTGATTACTGACGAAATCTCAGCACGGATACAGAAAGCTCGATTGGCTTTTGCCAACTTGTGTCATCTATGGCGCAGGCGAAACACCCGTTCGCTAACCTCCTATACGGATGCAAAACATGGTCGGTGACAGTGAAGGACATTCGTAGATTGTTTGTCTTCTATCGTATATCCTGGGACAACCGAGTAAGTAATTCTGTTGTTAGGAAACGATTACTAGGTAGTATTGAAGCTTCACCAGTTGAGGTGGTTGGAACATGTGTTGCGTATGCCTAACCAACGACTGCTTCGAAAAACAAAGTTTTATGATATAGGAGTAGTTTGGAAGATAGCTAGGGGTGGCCAAACCAAAACATGGCACAAATCTATGAAGTCACTGAAAAGTGGACTGAGTCATATTGGTAGGTGTCGACTTCCTGGTTGGGGTCAGCTACATGATAGTAATTGATGATTAGAAACCTTGAACGATATGGCTCAAAATCGTTTGCAATGTCGGAAGTGCATTCACCGGATTCTTCATCACCTCCATCTTTTTCTTTTTAGGTCTATTTCACTAGATTCTAGTTTTTGAATAATATTGTCGAACCCTAATCTTTCATACTATTGCTAATACTTCTACTACCTCTAATACTATGGGATTTGAATTGACAAGTATATTTCTGTGATAATGTTGTATGGCGACTTGAACTGATGTACTTACATACGAAGTTCTACGTTACTGTCGATTTTGTTAAATATTTCAGTCTCAATGGTATCCAGTCATCGGATGATTAAAAATTTCTTAAACTACTTAATATTTCTACTTTAGAAAATATTTGAATAATGTAACACAAAAGGTATGGTCTGTAAACCCCATCATAGTAGTAGTAGTAGTAGTAGTAATAATAATAATAATAATAATAATAATAATAATAATAGTTTTAGCCCATTCAACACAACTCTGCAGTCAGTTCTTGCACATGTGTTTACTGCTCGAAAAAGGGAACACAAAAGCAAAAGACTTATTTCTTCCAGAGTTAACTACACTATATTCAATTCCATCTTGGATAATGTTTAGCTGTGGAATACTAGACGCACAATTCATTTTTGTTGATACTTAACAGCCGAATAACTTGTATTCGAGTGATACCCTAACTCAGTCTCCATTGTTTTTAAAAGACAAAACTTCAATGGCTATGTTACTGGGTAATAATGGCTACCGACCTAGTGAAAAGTTGACGACAAGAGTTTAGTATTTGTGACAATGTTCTGATACTTAAAGTCGTGGTTACCGAATTCAGGTGACTATTTTGACAGTAACCTGTTGATTCCTGTACATCAAACCTATAGGTTCCATAAAAGAACACAGTAGAAACGTGGTTTTGGCTAACGATCACTATCCAAATATCCAATCAACATGTAAAAGTACGTAAGATCAAAGCATTCGTTCAGTTGACCTGTGAATCAGCATAGATTGAATATCAACTAATGGAAAACGCAAATCCTTACAATCACTTTATCACATTACAGGCATGTTAAATTCTGTAGATAAGCTCTTTCATTCATAAGTAATCCATGTATTGGAAACACATGATATTTGTCTTCTACTTTTATATGATCAACACCAAATTAAACATACTATTCAGGCCCTAATACTCAATTAATCTGTTTGATTCCAATTTCCAACTGAAAGGCTTCTATGGGCATCGTGAACTGGATTATTTAATTATTTGATTTCTTTTTTCATAAATATTATCTACTAGCTAAACAGCAATAACCATATACCTGAACTATTTATTCATACAAAATATTTATGAAAATACTACTTACGAATGCATGTCCAACCTCAGCTCTTCCAATTTTAACAGTATACGATAGACCAGCACCAAGAAGTAAATTAAACAATGGTGAACCAAGACAAGCGGCATATGCAATTCTAGGATAACCATTTCGAGCCAATAGGCAATTCGACATAATGTCTAATGCATCATTATCCCAATAATAAGAGTTAAATTATTATTCAAAATGTTTAAGGGACTTATATAAATGTGCAAAAAACTTAACATTATCTTATTATTAACATACTGCAGCTCATCCATAGTATAACAGTCAAGTTAACAAGAATTTTCCTCATACCTTTTTCAGTTATCTATCTTAGCTCATAACAATTTTCGTATAGTTTATTGGTAATAATATTGTTCGTAACTTTCTATGTTTATTCACCAACTTTCAATAGAAACCTCCTTTAAATTCATAAAAATAGTAGTACACTGAAGATTATTTGTCGTACGAACCTTAATTCTTGATTTGATTCTGCTTTAATATAGGGCACTTCATATTATACAACTTCTAGTGATTTAAGTTTACTCGCCTTAAAAAAATCTTTCATTATTAAAAACATATCACCTTATCAATTACACGTTTATTTCTTGATAAACATTATTTCGAGTTTATTTACTATCATAGATTAATCTTTACATAGAATGCACTTTGTTATGTGGAAAGTAAGTTGGATATTTTCATCCTCAGTTTAATGAGTACAGATAGCTTTCACGTGATAAGTGATGGGTGACTAGAGAAATTTCAGATATGGCTAGATGACTGAAAATTAAATAAAAATTTACTATTTTCAAAAGAATGATTTCAATTTAGAAAATCATCATAACTTTTCTCAAGATTCCTGTTCAAGATGAGAATCTAATCAGTAGCTTAAGCTTAAATGAAAAGTTTTTATTTGTGATTTATTTTACCAAATCAAAAGTTCAGACTACAAAATATTCATACAATTAACATTCAGGACATTAGCATATTCTCATATTTAGAAAGAATTCAAATTAACTAGTAGCATTCATTACGTGGTTGTGAATATTGTTAAGTTACACGTTTGCGATCATGAATCAGTCAAAGTTAGACCAACATTAGAAACCTGGAATAACTGGAGAGCCGTTTCGTCCTGATATGGGACTCATCAGCATCTCGCAGGATTCGGACTCAGGACCGTCGGCCTTGCATGCGAACGCTTAACCTCTGGACCACTGCACCGGTATCTACTGGTGTTAATTTCTAACTTCGATCAATTCACGGAGTTGCGCAACCTCATTCACTGTCTTTGGTAGTTACTGTCACACCCGAACAGGTTGAACTTCATTGGTCACGACTTCTCACTAGAACTCGAAAAAGCATTCACTAATAAAAAAAAAACAAACCTTTGTTTGTAAGATTGATGGCTTCGATATGTAGATTCTAAAATTGACTAAAAGTACTCTCAAATCTTCTAAAACACTATTCTCAAATAAGTGTTCTAACTATTTAAAATATCTGAGTTGAGTCATTCTTGAATACAACTCTGATAAGCTTCATACCAGACCAGTTAAAATTTTATCAATCATTCAAAGAAAGTAATTATTTGTAAGCAGTATTATCTCAGTTAAGTTGTGTTGAACTTATTATTTCAATAGAAAGGATTCATTGTGATTTCGTAAATATTCACAATCATACATCATCATCAACAACACTAAGAAGTATGGTTGAATCATATACACACAATTAAAAAACATTTAACTATTTTCTCATGATATTCATGAATTTCAAAGAAAAAATCATTTTACTCACCTCCAATTGAACTAGCTAATGCCATAACACTAAGTCCTA